TATTAGTCTTTGTTAAGAGTAATGTTATATCAAGAAATCAACTTTTTTCTTTGAAAAAATCTTTAAATATTCATGTATTAGTTTTTGAATCAATAATGTTTAGAAATATCATTTTGAATTATACAATATCAACTAAGAATCTTGTTTTTGAGTTTAAATATATTTTGCTTACGTGAATTTTTAGTACTATTATTGTTTGCCTTCGTTGGCCAGGATTTTTAGAAAAACATTTGATATATTTTTTTAATTAATTTAATAATTTTAAAATAAAGTAAAAAAACAACTTATTAGTTCAAAATTTAGATATTACTTTTACTGGAACTAAATTTAAATCCATCGGACACGCGAATTGTCAATCAGAATTTACTGGTAAAATAAATGGTTTATTTTTCTTTCATCCTCAAAAATATTTCTTCGTTTTCTGAAAACGAAAACAAAAATAAAGTACTATTGTATCAACTAAAGAAGTGTAAACAATAAAACAAATGGTACATACCACAAAAATGTCAACTCTCATTTTTTTTCTTTAAAACCGCTTCTAATACAACTGATGCTTTCAACGGAGAGTTATTTTAGAACAAATCATTCCCACCTAATCTAAAAACGCAAGTCCTTGACATCCATATCTTTGGAGTCCTCCCAAGTGAGCTACGCTAATCTCAGTTAACATGTAAAACGAGAAAGTATCGTATTTCCATATTTTTTCTTTTTAAATTCAGTGCAATTTGTTAACGTCTTTAAACAATAGTGAACCAAAGCCGACTGAGGCGTCTCTAATACTTAAGCAGATTATTTAAAAAATGTTTTATGACAAAGTACAACAAATATTTTTGACTAATCTGCTACAAATTTTACAACGCCTAATAGACGTAATAATTACTTTAAATCCGCATACACGGAACAATTAAAATCTGCGCAAATATCGCATACGTTAATGTATTTAAGAATTAGAAGTTACGCTGTGCCAACAATTTTTTCGACTTTCAGTGACGCCAAATCACGCGAGTTTTTCCCTTGGCTCTAACGTCAGTTCTATTGCCTGTGTCTAATATATCCCTACCCTACATTCGTACAAATAATTACTAATACCTGTAATTTAAAATAAAACAAATGCCGGCTTTGCCAGCTCGATCTAGAGACAGCTGTTGCGAAGGTTAGGGTAGGCCTTAGGATAAATCCGAGTAATGCGATCTTCAAACAGTAGTAGCGAATCTGTGGCACCCAAATAAGAACTGAGCAAATATTTAGGATGAAATGAAGCGTTTTTGTTCGTTCTCTGCGGCGTATTCTGTTTTTGTTCCATTTCATTCTCAAGGCTCGTGACGATTCGATTATTTTTGTTAAAAAGAATTTTTTTAACAAAAAGAAATAGTTGTTTATGTAACCAGCGCAAACTGTTAGCGTTTTTGGCATCGACGTGAAAATCGACGACTCGTTGAGTGCCAAAAACATCTTTTCACAAGGTACATACAATATTTCATTTTCAAACGTCTTTTAGCAATTATTTTAAAACAAAATAATTCGGTTTGTATAGCAGCATAAGACATATTAAATAAATGTGATATTTAGTTACATGTACTTGTACTTATCTAAAACGTAGGTTACTATAAATACAAGGTGTTTAGGAAAAAGTAATGTTAGGGTAATTAATTAATCGAACTTGATAATTTTTTCTCGGAAATGGTTGAGTTTAGGACCCATGTCATATAAGGTTTTTTTGTTTATCTTAATGTATTCTGTCGTCTGTCAAAAGTAAGGCAGTCAAACTTCTAACACCATGAATTGTATACAAAGAAATGGGCAATAGTTTGAACATACCTACTTTTAAATTTCACTATTTATTTTACATTTTTTATTTGTATTTAATATTGTATTGTACATTTTTTTGTTTATTAATATTACTTTAGTTATTGTTACATACATCTTTTTCCTATATCTTAACTGTCTTAAATTTGCTTCAAGTTTACTAAACTTTCTTCTGTTGGAAACAAATCATTGTAACGGACAAGAATTTATATTTAAATTAATTTTTTCTCTTGTCCAGTATAATAATTTTAAGTTTCCTTAATGATGATTAAATTTGTCGAAGGTCAATTTGTGATGCTTTACAGATTAATCCTTGTCCTTGCCGATGTTTCCTGGTTATGCATTTTAAGGAATTAAAATTTTTTTTTAAATCCAAAATTAAATAATTCGTTATTTACCGACCAAGTAACGATATTGTTAAAGAACTGTGAGTCAACGATTTTCCTTGCAGCCACAAATTGATGTCTCTACCTACACTTTAAAAACTTATCAGTAAGGCCGACAGAACTGTGTCGCGGACATAGGCAAAGGCATTATTTATAAAAAAGCAACAAATTGAATTGTCTACAATGCACCACGATGAACCTGAACGGATATGAATTAATTACGCAACATCCACACGATAACGAAGGCAACAGTATACTAACGTGACGTGAACGTGAAGAGCACTCTGGCAGCGGCTCACGCATGTCTCCATTGACCCGCTTGTAGTCCAGTTTCTGAAGCATTTTGGCTGCCAATTTTTTCGGATGGAATGGATTGACGTGAAATTTGAACTGTAGCTAGGGAATAGCCCAAGAAACAAAAGTTATATAGTGCCGATGTGTGCTTTAACCCTAGGGGTGGATGCCACGCCTTCTGGAGGGTGGGAATTTTTTGTACATTCAATACTTTTTGAGTTATTTGCGCCTAAACATGTCCGTTTTTAGCCCAAAAAATGCATGTTTTTGGGCCATTTTTCGCGAATATCTCAAAAAATACCTACAGTTTTTATCGAAAAAATGATCATAAGCAAAAATGAAGGTAATTAAATAGCAAAGATATTGCCTTTTCTATTTTTGTAGACGGTATAGAACCCGAGTTATGACTAAGAAGTTGAAGTCAATTTCAAAGATAGCTATAATCGAAACGTTCAACGTCCTGCAGCGGAAAAATGAAAGGTTTTTCGAGGAAAACTTATACGACACTTATTAAAGTTCTTGAAAAGACCTTTAAATTGAGTGGTGATAGAAGTCGTTAGCATGAAAACTAGTGAAGTTCTAATCAAAATAAAATTATTGTTTTGAGTTTTGAAAAAAAAAATCGGTAATTAATGACTTGACGGGAAAAAAAATTAACGATTCCTTCTGCAATTTACTTTATTTATGTATTAATAGTAAATTCTGGGAATTTGAACGATTATAGAAACCTAAATTTAAAAAAGAAATTTTATTTACTTTTGAATAAAATTTTTCATTTTAAAATTCGCCTTTTTTTTCAAAATATTTCAAAAACTAACAGTTATAAAAAAATGATAGCATAAGAAATTGTAGGTTTTTTCTTAGTGAACAATTTGCTTTTTTTTTTAAATTTTTGTAGGACAAAATTTGACCGAGTTATAATCGTTAGAAGCTCAAAACTAAGCTCTAAGACTGCCTTTCCTGAACCATTTTAGCTTACAAACTTAAAAAACGAAGGGCTCAAAAAAAAACTGCAAATCACAGAACTTAGAGTGCTTTAAATTCCCTACAAAATGGTTTTTTGAGTAAATTTATAACTTAAAAAATTATAAAAGTTATGGTAAAAAAATTAATCGCATTTTTTCAGTAAAATTTTCGGTGCGGATAAATTACCATCATCTTTGTGTATTTTGGAGCACTTGTGAACTGATTTGAGTAAGTATTTTAATAATATACATACACACACGTATCCATTTATAATGTATATAAAAAATTTTTTATTTGATATTAATTTAATAAAAAAATATTAAGAATAAATTCAATAAAATAAAAAAATAATAATTCTATCATCATACTCACATATAATTTTTAGGAAATTTTTCTATAAGGGGTAGGGTTTTTTATGAGGGGTAGGTCTTCCATAAGGGTTTTTTGGGTGGCTGAAAAGTTGCAATATATCATAGATCATTTGAAAACCAATAAAAAGTTTATAATTCAACATATGCATACCATTAAAACATCTCAAGCTTTCAATAATATTTTATTTTATTATAAGGCATGGTTTTTAAGGGTTGCAACTTTGTAATGAGTCGTAAGCTTTCTAATGAATTACAAAAGAAATGCAATACATTGTGAGTGCATCAAAAGAATATTTTAAACTGTTAAAAACTTTTTTTTCTATTTTTTTGGCCATGGGTTAGTTTTTAAGGATTTTTAAGGGTTCAAAAGTAATTAAATTTCATAAATTATATTAAAAAACATGAAAGGAACTTTATCCAACATATTTGAACATGGATTGAATCTTTAAAATACGTAAATCTGCGATTTTCGCATTTTCTTCGTACAAGGGTAGTTTTCACCCCCCAAACAGAAAAAAAACACACATCTGGACAATATAACTTTTGAAGTGGGGAGTCAGATGAGCTCGTATGCAAATTTTCAGGAAAATCCATGCTATCCGAAAAAATTGGGAGCTTTCACTTTACTTTCGCCTTCAGTGACTGGACTATTGGCACGCCATTGAATTGCGGCTCTCTCTGACAGCCCTACTTATCAGTTTAGACTTTACGCATCGAAGTATCATTCAGTGTAGTACTATCAATGACTTATCAGTTCCTATGACCGTCTCATTTATTCTCAAACTGCAGGAGAGATAAAACTTGTAAAAAAAATGGAATGTTTAATACTATAATCTACCGGAATGCCATCATTGTAAAAAATTGTATCGTATCTGAAAGTAAACACCTGTACGAATTTTTTCGTGTCACGGGAACAATTGCAAACATTTTTAAGAACCGATCACGAACATTATCTAAGGAAAAACGTCTATTTTCCATTTCATTCAGCGCGGCTATAAATCACCAATTAACGGATTCTCGTCACCCAACCTACGCAACAACGACCCACTATGCAAACGCACACACACGCCGCTCCTATTTACCTACAACAACGAGATTAATTAGTATTACCTGATTAGACATTAACCACATCAATAATTACGGTAGTTTATCCCTTTATATAAATTTATGGCCGCAGATAAGCGACTGATAACCGGCGGAATATTAGAAAGGGACCACAATGGGGAAGTCAGAGATCCAGTCCATGCCCATCCACCGGCCCGAGTCCAACCTGATCTGCGTCCCGTCGACCTGCAAGGACCTGTACATCACCAACTTGACCAACGGGATTGAGGAGGAGACCGAAGAGAACGAGACCGACGAGGTGGTGCCCAATGAGGTGGAGATGCTGCCCAGCCAAGTTGCCGGACACATGAACGACGGGAAATCTGCAGGTGAGTGCCCTTGCAATTTTGTTCACGTGGGGAAGTATACACATTTATGAGCGGTTGTGATTTTTATGTTTTTTTTCTTATGTAACGTGTGAAATTATTTATTTGGAAATGGTATTGTGTTTAAGATGGTTTTGTTGCGCTTAGAAATGTTTGTTATACGTAATAGTGCATGAACGACCCTCATAAAGATAAAGGGTAATAAAAAAAGAAGTGTTATGCTCTTAAAGGTTGAGGTTTTTCGTTTTTACAACCGTCGCTAGCCATTTAGATTGTATTTCATTATTTTTTTTATGAATATCGAATTGTTTCCCGATATTTTCACTGTGAATATCGCTAAAAAAACAATTCCTATAAATAATAACAATTATTTCTTGTAATAATCGGCATCTATTATTAAATATTTCAGTTATTTTCTAAAAAATGTTGGTTTAAAAAAAAGACACACTACGTCGATGAAATGAATACGAAAAATTAGAATATTAGGAGGCCATATTGGATTCTTGCACCATTAAATTTCGAATTCTAAGATTTTATAGTACTTACTTGAATGAAGAGATTTTAATAAGAGCCATAAAACGTCTATTTCATGATTTATTTAATTTAATCGTAGTTGCCATGAAAGAACAAATTAAAATTTTAACATTTCTGTTTAGAAAAAATGTAAACAACTATTGTTGTGAAACATTTAGTAAATTTCAAGACAATTGTTTTCCATTGTAACTTACTTTAGAAATAAATAAGGGTCCAATTGTCTCACAATCCTTTTATTTTTTAAAAAGGCTACTGGTTTCGAGGTCAAACGTTACACCCATCTTCAGGTCTTACAAGGCTACAATATAATAATTTTTTTAAAAATATGTCAGATGTTTTATTTTAATAACCTATTCAATAATTATTAATTTTTACAAATATAGACTACTTTATTTTTTTGAATTATTAAGTTTTACCTTTCTTAAAAATTATTGTTTTTAAACATAATAAATATAAATTACAAAATAAACTTTTTTATATACAATACTTACATATCACAATTACAGGAATATTCAATCATATTACTATTCAAAACATATTGGGATTTTGTCAACAAAATAAATTCCACTTTTTTAAGGACAAATTTTAAAGACAAAGTTACAAACGGGTATTATTAAATCTAATATTTCAGAACAAATGAGTGAAGTTTTTATTTTTATTCATTCTGTACCAATGTTTTTTTAAATTTAGAACTAGTGCCATCTATCTTATACCTAACCAACTAGTAATGAGAAGTTCAAGAAGAAAACTGTAAATTAAAATAAAAATATCAGTAGAATAGCTGTGCCGATTCTGCTCCACAATTCAAGATGGCGACTGGATCAGGATCAGCATAGCTTTCAGTCGGCTTGGGAAACTTAAAAGTGATTTCAACAAGATGGCGCTTATCCTCATAAAATGCCAGAATTGTTAAACAATTTTTGGATGAACGTTTTAACAATAATTCGCGGATTGGTCCTATACGCTGGCCACCAAGATCGCCTGGTTTAAATCCCTTGGAGTTCTTTCTCTAGGAATTTCAAATAATAGAGTTTATGATAGATCAGTTCAGTGTATCCAACAATTGCGAATTAAAATAACAAAAGCGCTTCAATCAAATCCACCGGAAACAATTCAATATTCGGTAAGAAACATGACTTGTAGAATACTTCCTGGCATCTAACAGAGGGGGGGACAATTTGAACAATATATGTGATTTATGTTTATTTGTTTCTTGATGTTAATTATTAATTTATTGTTAATTTTTCATAATAAAACATAAAAATGTCTTATATACTTTCCTCTTATTGATTATGGTCCCATTACAAACAAATAATAAAACACTTGAGCACTTATTTACAGCAGAAAATAATAGTTTGTTTGCTTTTGAACAGAAATGTCAAATTTTTCATGGCAACTGCGATCAAGCTAAGTAATAAAATTTAAATTTTTCGGCCCTGAATAAAATCTTTTTACCCAAATATTATACATTATGAGACCCATAATAAAATCGAAAATTGGTTATAAAGACATAACGATCAAGGAGGCTTGGAAGATGTTTTAACAAGTTGTCTGGTACTAAAAAAGCACAACTTACAATTGGCCAATATTTGATTTGCAAGAAAACGTGTTATTTTAATTGACGATAATTAAAGATAAAGTCCACATTTTTCAGAAAATATGTGGATTTATTGGCGATGTTCTAAAAACGTTCATTTATTTTGAATAAATTGTTCATATCGAAATACAAGAGAATTAAAAAAATCGAAAAATATTTAATTTTTAACTTGAGTTGCTTATATTTGCTTTAATTAGGGATTTATTAATACTACTAATGGGAGTAAATGTACAGTGTGACCTTTGTAAAAAAAGTATGTATTATTATTAAAAAGTCTAAATCGCATATGATTTGAATTTATTTTCAGTTATCGAAGCCTTCTTTTAATTTTTTTCAGACACTAATTGTTTAGCAAGCAAGGCTATTAAAATGTTTTCTATCGGGAAAAATTTTATGAAGGCCAATCCTTGAAATAATTTCACATTGTTAAAAATTAAGGTCCAAAAAACAAAAAAAAAATTAAGAAAAAAGGGGGAATAAAAAAAGGAAAACGAAAAAAAACCTAAAAACCTGAAAAACAAAAAATAAAAAAAAAAATATAAGTCTGATAGACAGCTACGCAACCCAGAACACCACACAAACTATATAAATATACAAATAGAAAGGGAATATCATTATACTGACACAGAAGCATATTCCGTCACACAACACAGGAGAGGACACCACAGAGATATTTTTAAAAAGGGAATGGAAAAAATTTTTTGCACGTTTTGATTCATTATTTTACTTTCTTTCCAACCATATGAAATTTGTATGTCTTTGCATAACGAAATTTTTGAGAAAATATGAGAAAACTTTCAGCCTTTGACTTCTGTTCTCGGTGCTCGCTCGCTAAATCATATCAAATAGAAGGCGTTGGAAAAACAATTTTGCATATCACTATCTGTCACATAATCGGTCACCACTCATCTACAGTGTGACGAAAAAAAACAGGGTGCCCAAAAATGGGTAACCGAGATATAACTCGGAACCTTTATCATCAACATACTGTATAACAATAATATTTATTATACATCCTGTTCTAGTGTAACATGTTGCATAAAGGGTAGTTTTTAGATGGATGGATTGAAATGAAAAAATTGATGACGAAGCAGTCATAGTTAGCTTTAAAAAATAGTATGATTTAAACGCAAAGAGTGGCCACAAAAAACCTGTGATTTTCGCCCGTTTTTTTCACAATTCGCAGAGAATTTAAAAAAATACATGAAAATATGTTTTTGGTCGCAAATTGTCGTAAAAAACTGAAATGAGCATAGCTTTCAGTATTTTAAAAATTTTTAAAATCACCCCTACTTAGGGGATGAAAAAAATGTCAAAAATTAATAATTTGTATATTACCAATTGATATAAAAACTATTAGCATGTGAATTAAGTATCTTAATATATTTTTTTTGGAATTTTTACAATTATTTCTGATATTCCCTATTTTTGGGGATGATTCCACCCCCTGAGCGCGTTTAAGGGTGGATTTTCTAATTCAACATGCTTATTTCAGTCATAAGAATAAATCTTTCTTCGTATCAAGAATCATTCGATAGAAAAATTCACATGCTAATAGTTTTTATATAAATTGGTGATATTCGAGGTAATATTCACTTCTTCATTTTGGGCGTCTTTTCAAGTAGGGGTGATTTTTGAAAATTTTTTACGAAGAGTAATTTGAGACCAAAAACATATTTGTATCTAATTTCTTTAGATCTCTGCGAATTGTGAAAAAACAGGCGATTTTTGCGGTCACTCTTTAGAATATGAATAGGATATGTCTATGGACTTTTAAGATACCGAAGAAAACATTATATCTACTACCCACTGTACCATCATACTAAAAAGTACCTTTATTTTGTTATACAGGGTGTCCGGAAAGGTCATGTCAAAAATGAAGGGTGTACAAGGGAGCTCAAAGCTCAAAATAGTTGTAGTACTTCATATATATTTTTTTCTTATCGGGCTTCGTTGTGGAGTTATTTTTATGAAGTACTACAACTATTTCGAGCTTTCCTGTATACCCCTTCATTTTTGACATGACCTTTCCGGACACTCTGTATAGACATTTAAATTAATTCAAGATTATTAAAATAGGGATATTTCCAAAAAAAACTTTATCGTGTTTTTTATCTTTCTTATTCTATTCGAATCTTCAAATTGTACTTTTTAACATACACAGGGTGTCCCGTTCATGTTTCAAAAAAACTTGTGTACAAGTTCCTCACGGGAAAATAGTGGGGGTAGTTCATGTAACATTTTTTTCTTAGACACCCTGTTTTCGATATACAGTGTGTTGAAGTTGTTACATTCCAAATGGTTTTCCTCAAAATTTGTACACGAGTAGACATCAATAATATGCAAACGGTTTTTTTCTGTAAAGCAGTGTCGTCGATACAGGTAATTGAAGGGGTTCAATCGAAGAAAAAATATGTTAAAAGTCAAAAAGTATTACATTTCTAGACGGTTCTGTAAACTCTAAAGGATACTACAAATGAAAGGTATACTTGTCGAAATTCGGTAGCATGTACCATTTTCGAGAAAAATGAAGTTGAATTTTGTTTTGCTGACATAAAGCGGCACAAGTACATTGACAAAATATTAAATTGAAAGAGGACCTTACCATCGAGTGAGCTGAAGACATTTAGCTACCAACAGTATTTGCATTTAAGACTATAATTTTAATTTCTTACGTATCACATGAAACAGTTAAATTGTAAAACATTTTATTAACTAAAAAAAATAAAATAAAATTTATTTTAAGTTTCAGTTTGTTGTAAACTAACATTTAAAAAAGTAAATCAAAATAAACAGATTATGGTAATTAATTATCTATTATTAAATAATTTTCGATTTTGTAAACTACTACACTACCATTACTAAAATATACAATTGTTGATGGACATGAATGCTTAAAAATGTGATAAAAACAGAAAAATATTAGGACACAGACTCGGAGACAAGTATCTTTTTTTGTAGTATGCTTTAGAGTTTACGGAACCGTTTAGAAATGTAATAAATTTTGACTTTTAACGTATTTTTTTTTCGGTTGTACCCCTCCAATTACCTGTATCGGCGACACTGCTATTCAGAAAGAAACCGTTTGCACATTATTCTTAACGCACAGTTGATGTTTGCTCGTGTACAAATTTTGACATTTTTATCCTTAGCCGATTTAAAGATAATTAAGAAAAACCATTTGGAAAGTAACAACTATCTCGAAAAGAAAACAACTTTACATGAACTACCCCTATTATTTTTCCATGAGGAACTTCCACACAAGTTTTTTTGAAACATGAACGGGACACCCTGTATGTGTACTAGGAAAGCCCTTGAAATTGAGCATACATAGTAAGTGGTGGTAATACAATTAATTTCAATAATGCTGCTAATAACTTGAAACGGGACCGAGATATTATTTAAGTGAAAAAAGTACTGGGTTGAATCATGTGATTTGCAAATGATAGATGATAATTTATTACTACTTTGCGCTGCTTAGTACTCCTGTCTAAAGTACCATTTTAAGTAATTTATATTAAATTTTATTAATCTGCAGATTGTGACGTGATGTAGACAACTGCAGACTGTCACTTTTATTTCAAACGAATTTAACAAACTGATAAATATAGACCGTGCGTGCTAAGCCAGTGATGTGAGAGTTAAACTATTTATGATCTGATTTGTTCTTGCTCGTTGTTTTCCGGAAATAAAGATCTTACACCAAAAATTATGTTCCAAGTTTGTCTTGGTATATTTTAAACTGAAAAGAACTGTTTTTGTTGTGAGTTCACCAAAAATGTGCAGTGTCCTTATTATTCCAGGCATGATGAGACAGAACGGGCTCATCCTGAAGCCGATCGTGAAGAAGGAGTACGGCGAGAGGGAGATATGGTTGTACAGGAAACTAGACGACACGGTCGATAGGTCGTTGATCGAATTCAGAGAATTTGTGCCAAAATTTTACGGGACTAAGACCGTTAACTTTATCGGGAAGGATTACGAATGCATCGTCCTGGAGGACCTAACGAAATACTACAGGGAGCCCTGCATCATGGACATCAAGATAGGGCGGAGGACTTGGGACCCGAAAGCTACGTACGAGAAAATCATAGCCGAAGAGGTAAAGGGAATTATTTTACCGTGTTGAAAAGCACGGGTGTTTATCGTTCTTTATGTTGCAGACCAAATATCTCGAGTGCAAAAGGGACCTCGGCTTTTGCATCCCTGGCTTCCAAGTTTACAAGCTCCACAACAATCAGCTAGTCAAATTCGGGAAAGATTTCGGTAAAAGCTTGAACAAGGAACGTGCGGAAGACGGTTAGTGTCCATTGTTTCATATTCTACGTCACCCTCATCCCTGGATCATTTTGAGGAAAAAGTTTAAACGTCCCATTTTCAGTAACACGTTGCAATGTCTTCTTATATAAACACTTTTAAGAAAAACTTTCTACACAAAAGCGATTTGAGAGGACATTCGAGGGTGTCTTTGACCTTGACACAAAGGTAGAGGTTATTTGAAGATCAACTTGGATTTATAGATATGATAGATATATTGCTGACACCGGAAATGAATAGAGATGCATATTTCACGTATTATGTATTTATGTTATGGGTCAAAGTGACCCTAAAGGATTATTTTAGGGTCAATTAAGATTCTGAATACGATTTAGCGATATTTTTCGGGAAAATACTTATGACAACGACTTCTGGTTGAAAGTTTTATGGTTTGATGGGATTATATGATAATGACCTTGACCATGACCTAGAGGTCAAGCTTGAAGGTTCTCTGAGGGTCAAATCAAGTCAAGGCAAAGTCACTATGACCCGGGTCGAAGCGAATCTTGCCTTGCTGGTCTGTAACGGTCTTACCGTAACTAATGGGGCTGCAAACAGGATTCTCCTAATTCGTAACTTGATTTGACCTTCAAAGAACCTTCAAGTTTGACCTCTAGGTCATGGTCATCATCATCGTATGATTCCATCAAACCATAAAACTTTCAACAAGAATCCTTCGTCTAAGCGCTTTCCCGAAAATTATCATAAAATCTTATCTAGGACCTTATTTGACCCTAAAATAACCCTTTAGGGTCACTTTAATCCATAACATAAAGACATCTGAACATAAAACTTTCCTCTCTATCCATTTCCGGTGTCGGAAATATATCTCTCGTATCTAAATATGCAAGTTGACCTTCAAATTGCCTCTACGGTTGACCTTTGTGTTAAGATCAAGGTCCCCATCTTCAGTCCTAGTCAGGATCCTACAACGTTTGTCTAAAAAGCTTTTCTTGAAAGTGCTGCCCTAAGAAAATATTGTAATGCGTTATTTAAAATGGGACACCGTGTATAATATACTATCAAACATTTTAGAGTGCATATAAACTACAACGGCGTACTAACAAAAGCAATTCAGTTCAGGTCCCATATTTTCTAACAATTTCTCATTTTACGATGTAGTTAAAAAATCGAAACCACCCTCTTCAGTCGAATTAGATTTTGATCGTAAAAAATTATTACCTATGTAGAATTATAATATCAAAAAAGTAACTCGAAAGAAGCGACGCTAAGTTGGCAAATTGCAAATAATAGGCCTTGAAAATAAGCTGGGAAAAGACCATTTCGCGACTTTTTGTTTCGGCAAACTAATGAAGTTACAATCAAAATAAAATGATTGGATCTTGATTTTTGAGAAAAAAAAAATCGGTTTTAAAATTAATGACGGAAAAAAAATTAAACGTATTCCTTCTGCAATTTATTTTATTTATGTATTAACAGTAGATTCTGGGAATTTGAACGATTTTAGAAGCTTAAATTTAAAAATATTTTTCATTTACTTTTGAATAAAATTTTTTAATTTTTTAAAAAATCGCCTTTTTTCAAAATATTTCAAAAACTAACAAAGTTATAAAAAAAATGTAACAATAAGAAATTGTAGGTTTTTTTCTTACTGAACAATTTGCTTTTTTTTATTTTTGTAGGACAAAATTTGACTAAGTTATGACCGTTAGAAGCTCAAAACTAAGCTCCAAGATATTTTAATAAAAAAATATTAAGAATAAATTCAATAAAATAAAAAAAAAATAATTGTATTATCATACTCGCATATAATTTTTAGGAAATTTTTCTATAAGGGGTAGGGTTTTTTATGAGGGGTAGGTCTTCATAAGGGTTTTTTGGGTGGCTGAAAAGTTGCAATATATCATAGATCATTTGAAAACCAATAAAAAGTTTATAATTCAACATATGCATACCATTAAAACATCTCAAGCTTTCAATAATATTTTATTTTATTATAAGGGATGGTTTTTAAGGGTTGCAACTTTGTAATGAGTCGTAAGCTGTCTAATGAATAACAAAAGAAATGCAATACACTGTGAATGCACCAAAAGAATATTTTAAAGTGTTAAAAACTTTTTTTTTCTATTTTTTTGGCCATGGAAGGGTAGTTTTTAAGGATTTTTACGGGTTGAAAAGTAATTAAATTTCATAAATTATATTAAAAAACATGAAAGGAACTTTATCCAACATATTTGAATATGAATTGAAGCTTTAAAATACGTAAATCTGCGATTTTCGCATTTCTTTTGTCGTAGTTTTCACCCCCAAATAGAAAAAAAAACACACATTGAGTGTGGGTACACATGTTCGCAAGTGACCCATTTTAAGCATTACGTCAAGAGCGCCAGCAGGACGCCGCCGGACGCACCAGTGTTCCAGGAAGGGTCTACGGCGGACTGGCACTGGCGACCGGATACGTACTCATATACCTATAGACTAGTGCTTAAGTCTTCAAAAATGGCAAAAAGTGAAAAAAAATAATAGTAGGATGAATCCCATTGGAAAAGGGAGAGAATATAACAGAAATGAAAGGAAAAATAATTTACGGGCGATCTGAGGTCGCGAAGGGGAAGGGGGCGAGTTTTTAAAAGTAAAAAAACGGTTTCCCTTGATTTTTGGAATAACTTCAAGCTTTATGGAAAAAAGTTAAATGGCAAAGTTGTGAGTAATAAAAAGATCTACAACTTTTGTATTTACACTTTTTTCACATAACCTCAAAATTTATGTGAAAAATTCAAATAACCAAGTTTTTGGTTTTTTATTTTTCTTTTACAAATAAAAAATTTTCACGAAATTTGGTGAAAACTTACCTATTTATGTCCCAAACACGCTGTAATTTTTTTGATTTGAAATATTTATTTTTTCACCTTATTTTTACTTAATATCGAAAAAGCACCCTAATTTTCAATCGAAAATTCTCACGTCAAAATATCTGCTTTTTTAAAAACGTCGGTGGGCTTTTTCTTCGTTGAAATCTCTACTTTCTGATGGTGTAAAAAAATATATACATTACTATGGTAAGTTTTCTCAGGAAATGCAAAGAAACGAACTAGAATCCGAAAATTTTTTTCTAATCATTATGTACAATTTTGAGCTATTTATTAAAATTTACACTTTAATTACTCGAAAAACGTAAGATTCCATGTTACATTGATAAACAAAAAAATTACAAGTCGAAATATACTATTATAATTAACAACCAAATAAGTTAATAAAGTTAATATTTAATAAGACATCTACAATATTTTGAGAAAGTTGTAGAATCTTCTTTAAATTATATACGTAAATGCCTATTTATTGCTATTTTAACGTAACTTATATACCTGAGTGACCTACGGGAAATTTTAGCCCATCATAGAGAATTGGGGGGATGATAGGAGGGTCTGGGAATGTTTTTAAAAATATTATAATGAATAATAAAAGTATATAAATTCAATAGTACGATTTACATGTATATTTAAATATTATGAGATGTTCTATGACATAAATGTAATTAGAATTTAATAAATCAACTTTTATAACTGAAAAAAATAGCAGCAGTCACATTTTTTAGATAAAATCCCCTTTAAATTATGTCTTTAATATTTAGAACAATTATTTTCGCATGTTTTATGGATTTGTAATTTTTTTGTTAATCGATGTAACATGGAATCTTACGTTTTTCGAGTAATTAAAGTG